GCACTGGCACCTACATGCCTGTATATGGTACACATAAGGCAGGTAGGCACACACGTGCACACACACACACACACACACACACACACAGAGATTGAAAATAGAATTAGAGAGCTACACATTATTTAAAAGAAAAAGATAGAAAACCTGGAAGTTCTGTCCCCTCTGACTACAATTATTTACCCAGCACTGTAAGCAATACTTCAGCAGTGACTTTTGTTTTTGCCCTGAACCTGTCCTCTAGTCTGTCACAATCTTCAACTCCTGAATCTTTGTTTTGGAGAGCCACCTTTATTATTAACTGCCTGTGAGTATTTGAGCTTGCTACCCTCTCGTTCCAGGACAGAAGAGGTCTGTACAGATTTCTTATTCAAGCAGGTATAGAGTGCAGAGGGCAGGCAGGTGCAGAGGGCAGGTACCTTTGGAATCATTCTTTGATCTGCTGTCCTTTCTTAAAATGGAAACGTTTTAACTTTAATTGCAGAAACACAAACAGGAGATTGTTTTAAAACTTTACATGTTGTATTATCCAAAGTCCCATGCATTGTTTTTCTCCTCGTTGAAAAGATTTGGATTAAATTACTGGTGTCATGTTTATGTGCGAGTTGACATAGCTATAAATTATGTTACTGTATAACAGTTTGTCAGGTGCCAGGAACTGCTTTCACATCTGTAGAAGGTACATGCGATTAAGAAGCCGCCTCTCCCTTGGGAGCTTTTTGAGACAAGTCCACAGAGAAATGTCATTGGATGCATCCTCTGTTTTTCTGTTTCTCCTTTATGTAAAAGAGTTCATGTTAGGGACTAGAGAGATGGCCCAGCAGTTAAAAGCACTTGCTATTCTTGCAGAGGACCTGGGTTTAATTCCCAGCACCCACATGCGCCCAACTCCAGTTCCAGGGGATCCAGTGCCCTCTTTTACCCTCTGCAGACGCTTGATGCACTTAAATAAATGCAAGCAAAATATAGATATACAAAAATTAAAATGAAAAGAAAGCAATCAAATTATTTTTATGAAGAGTTCATGTCTCCAAATCCAGTCATAAGGGGGCTGTGAAATGAGTCTTAGTTAATAAATGTAAGTACTTTTGAGTGCTGTAGGAGTTGATTTGAACCTTGGTTTTCTGTAAAGTGACTTTTATTTCAGGAAATCTTAGGTTTGATCTTTATATGAGCAGCGATAAACAAACCACAAGGAAAGGCAACTTTTACATTCTGTTTTCCAGGTTAACTAATGAAGAGTTCATTTTGAGCTGCAAAGTGGAATATGCCTTGTTGCAAATTCCTTGAGTCCTGTTAAATGTTTAAAGACAAACCAGCACCTGGGGTTTCATCATGTAGTCTAGCCCCGATTTCCAGGGAAGGTGGCAGACTTGCTGAGTTATGAATGTGGTGCATGAAGTTGAAAGCCAACCCCTCTCTGCAAAAGCATGATGCATTGTCTTTCTAAGTAGACATTCAGTGTGGAGAGTCTGACTTTGGCAGTATATACGTCTGAAACACCACTGCTGTAAGTTGTTACTTTACAGAGCTGGGCTTTAAAAAATGTGTCTCTCTGGGCTGGAGAGATGGCTCAGCGGTTAAGAATACTGGTTGTTCTTGCAGAAGACCCGGGTTCGAATCCCAGCACCCACATGGCAGCTAACAACTGTCTGTAACTCCAGTCCCAGGGGATCTGACAGCCTCTTCTGTCCTCCCTGGCATTGCACAACACAGGTGCACTCACATACATGCAGGAATACACGCATACACATAAAATAAAAATAAATTTTTAAAGAAGTTTAAAAAACGTGTCTCTATAATTTTTCATCCATTTAGTTTCTGCTTCTGGCTTTATGATACAGTGTCCAATGCTGTTCCCTTCCCATGTCCTCTCCCGTTTATGATATGATAGCACCTCCACTGAGAATAGAGATGCCCTTTGACTTCTTCAAATAATTGCCTGCATCTCCCCCCAAACCAAATTGTATGGCTATGTCCATTCTCATATAAATTGGACTCCTGAATCTTAATCCAAACTCCTCCAGAAAGGAAAAGAACAATCCGTTGATAGGACCCAGGACTAAAATAAAAATGTAAATTTTTTGAAGTGTTTTCTTTCTCCTGTACATGTTTCCAGTAATTATAGAGAAGGTAATTTAAATCTGTTCTTCGAGATTTGAGCCGGTTTTTGCTCTGAACATGTTAATAAAGCAGAATAAAACAAGATACCGCTGTTCTCCTGCCAAAGCGTTTTAATGTTCCTCCTGTGTTATTAAAAAGATTATAGTGCGGATTGCCCAGGTTCACTGAGTACATGGGGACAAACTAGACTTCAAGCAACAGCGGAAATCTACCTAAACGCAATTTGGCCAACTTAATAAACTCAGGAAAGTTCTCATGTCCGTTTACAGAGTTAACTTCGGGAAAGGTATTTTCTAAAACTCTAGAATCCTGTAATGCATTGTATCCATTACAATTAAATACATGAGCAAGGGAAAGCTAAATGAAGTCAATGAAGAATCGAAGAGATGCTTTGTTTCCGTGACAACGAGCCCTGTGAAAATGGTCACTTCCGCAAACATTGTGCTTTGAATTCCTAGCGCAATGTCGAATTTACAGAACTCCTATCTTCAAATCCTGATTCTGACATTGTGTAGTTTTGTTAAAAACGGAATATAATTATCTAGCTCGAGCTGGCCTGGACCGTCCTCTGCCTTTTGGTGCGAGAATTTCAAGCATGGGTCACCAGCATGCTTGGTTGAAATTTTTAGTCTGGGGTTTTTGTTCACATCATTATTTTTAAGTTGACGGGACTGTAGAGATGCTGTTTCCTGCACATGTATATAAACGATGATAAATATATGATAGTGGCCTCCTTCTCATTGCTCCTGTTCTATGTGTTTTAGATGAATAAAACTCTGATTTTACCTTTTGAGGAATAGTTGAATGTCACATGAACACTTATGACGTCACCAGGTAGTGCCAGTCTTGGTTTTTGTCTTGACCTCTGATAACTCATGTCGATTGATGTGTGTGTGTGTGGTTCTAGAAGCACAGAACTGCAAACAAAGCTTCAGGCAGATTCTGTTCTCCTGAGGTGCTGTGACCTGTGGCTGTGTGACTGTCACCACACCTTCTGCTCACAGCCTGCATTTGCGCAGAATCATCCCGGGGACAGAGCCACAGCCAGTCTCCTTCCTCAGAGCATATGACATTTCACTCAAACTCTTTATGTGAATCTGCCTTGAAAGTAGCAACTCAAGTGACCTGTCAAGAAAGACTCAGGTTCCTGCAGTTTATGGCAGTGTTCGGGAAGAGAGCGTGATCCCTTCTTCCTCTTTCATGTGACGTCTCATGGTGGTCCAGGAGACAGTTCTGTCTCACCTGGGAACACAGATCAGAATCAAGTATCTTAAACTGAATTTAAATTTGAACAGATTTTTATAGGCGTTTCCAAATATGTTTTAATTCTTCCAAGAGAGTAGGACATCAGGTCATTGTTTATTCTCTTCTGAAACGTTCCAACTGTGGAAAATAATGTCACTGTCATTTAAATGTAGTCTTAAAACTGGTCCCAGTGACTATAATTACTAAGGGGCCATAACCAGGGACCTAACTCTGGATTTAATAACTCTTCAATTCACTGAAGAGAGTTTCTCAATACTTTCATGATTCCCACTTCAGACCTTTGGGCTGTCTTTGTTAGCTCCCTCAACGTCTGTGTAGGAATTAAGCTTTCCAGAGTAATTATGCTTTATAGTTTTCCATTACTGAATTCTAAATGTAGATGAACCTGTGGCCATAATCTCCCAGGCAGGAGCCTGGACACAATTTTTTTTTTTTTAGTGTGTCTGTAAATTCATTTCCCCACTGAGTTGTAAGTGGTATTATATTTTGGTTAGACAGAGACTAAAATTGATGGACATTTTAGGTAAGTGGGATTTATTTTTTACCTTCTCGGTGACTGTTCCAAATCTGAAATTAACTGGGTAAGGTAAAAATGCAGGACTTTTCCAGAAAAAGCAGTGCAGGGTCACTCTTTAGCTCCATTGATTTTAGCACTTAGCCTAAAGGAACAATTTAAGCTCCATGAACTTGGCTGTTTAAACTGCAAATAATGAGACCTCTCTTTTAAGGAACCTCATGCAGTAATTAATGTAGAGTGAGGGCTTAACCAACGATGTGTATTAGCAATATAATTTCATATATAATTATATTGCTACTGAGAAGTAGTTCATCTTTTATTCGGATCATTTCTATATACATGGATTCTGACAGTTCAAGTACATTTCTGGAAATTGTCCAAAACTATTGAAATGATGCTTTATTTCAATTAATTCCTTTTAAAACCTGCATACTAGATTTATTAATTTCCAAATGATAGACAGTAGTGCACAGTCATACAATTATTATCCAAAATTCCAGATTTATGTGCCTTGCGTGATTCACTAGTTATATTTTTCAGTTCTGAAAAGGATTGCATAAACTCAACCCTTTGCTTTTTTATGTATGTGGGAAATTATTTAATACCACGTTAATTGTTTTCTTTGAGAGAACCCATTGGAACTCTTGACATCTTTTAGGGCAAGCACTTTAGCAAGGCTGGTTTTTCATTTCCTACCTTCTTGACCTGATCGCACATCTAACAATGTTTAAATGGTGCTCTAGAAAACGCCAGTGAGAAAACAGGAATGGTTTTAGGGATGATTTTGTTTGTTTGTTTTGGTTTTCTATCAACCTTGTATTTTGTGTTAAAAATAATTAAATTAATATTTTAAAGTAAAAAATTTGTAAAAAGCTAGAGATCAGGTTCATAGATTATGATGTCTAATTCTCTTCTTTTCAAACTATACAGAGTAACTGTGGGAATGAAATTATATTAATCAACAGAAAAGCTAGCCTCGGATAACCTCCTGTCAAGCCACTTAGTTCAGTATGAAACAAAGACTTGATGTGCACAGTTAAATGAAGTAGTGATTTTTATACCTTACTGTCTTGTTTCGTTTTTCATGGTGTACCAGAAGTCACCATCAGAGTCGTTTATTGGTCGAGAGAAGAGGTCGAACTCTCAGTCGTACATTGGAAGGCCAATTCAGCTCGACAAACTTTTGATGTCTAAGGTGAAGGTGCCGCACACCTTTGTCATCCACTCCTACACCCGGCCCACTGTGTGTCAGTACTGTAAGAAGCTGCTGAAGGGCTTCTTCAGGCAGGGCTTGCAATGCAAGGGTAAGGGCCACGTGGCACCCGGTGTCGGTCACCAGCCAATCTTAAGTCTTAACGAGTCCTTGTCCATCTGAAATTGCTACTTTTGTTTGTTTTACGTCTTCTCTGTCTGATGACTTTCTCGGTTTTGTTTTGCTTGAAAATCATCACATTTAGATTGTAGATTCAACTGTCACAAGCGCTGTGCACCAAAAGTTCCAGACAACTGCTTGGGAGAAGTGACCATCAACGGAGGTAGGCTCACCTTCCGAGTCACCTTCTCTGCAGCCTGCCTATCAGGAGGGGAGGGGGAGGGATTGTGATTTCTTGGGGGTTTCACTTTTTTTTTCCCAGTTTTAAATGTTTGTCACTCAGTCCAAAGTAAATGATGCCTCAAGTTACTATCTGGAATAGAAAAGCGTCATTGCAAATCACTGCATTTTGATGTTTTCAGAATTAAGCAGAATGTTCTCTCCACCTTCACAGAGTGCAGGGTGGTGTTGAAGTCTTGTCCATCATGTCTTACCTGCCCTGCTTGGACCCTAAGCCTAGTTTGTTCATAATGCAGAGCTGGTTAGAATGCCTACAAATTCGCTCCAAGTCCTCTGCTCTAATTGGTCTTTCTGAGGCTGGTGATACTGGCTTGTTCAGTGACAGGGATGCCACTGTGGACTTGATGAACATAATCTAGTCAAAATAGAGAAATTCGTCATGCTGATCATTTTGAAATTGCCTTTTCCCATATTATCAGAGCAATAAAGTGAAAGGGGAATTTCCCAGGTTTGGCAGTCCATAGTCTCTGATTAATCTGCTTTTCTGATTTTAAAATGAGCAATTTGAGTTAGTTAAGTAATTAAAATTTTACCATTACCACCAACCGCATAGATAGGGTTTAATATCCAATATCAAATACCTTAGGTGTTTAAAAGCTATAGTTTATGTGAACAATTTAATACACTGAAATGTATGATTTCAAAAGTTACTGAACTAGTAGGAACCAGTGACCCTTAGTCTTTTTCCCTGTAGCAGTTTCCCTGTCCTGGTGTGAGTTTCTTTTCCCAGGAGGTGTATCCTGTGAAATGAAGCTCTCCTGGCCTCACTCTGCTTCCCAGCCCTGGGCTCTGGTCCCTTCCTAGGCTCTGGTCCCTTCCTGGGCTCTGGGCCCTTCCTGGGCTCTGGTCTCTTCCTGGGCTCTGGTCCCTTCCTAGGCTCTGGTCTCTTCCTGGGCTCTGGTCTCTTCCTGGGCTTCTTTTTCGCGCTCTCCTTTGCTCCTGATGTTTTTAGTCTCAGGGACATGGAAAACAGCATCAGGCTGTAAGATTACCCAATTACCAACTCACTTTCACATACATCCACATACTATGAATTAAATGAATTATACTATATATATATTATTCATACTATG